CAGCAGGAGGAAAGAGTCGAGACAAACTCTGGAAAACCTGAAGCTGCACCTGAGTGAAGATGATGATGAGGAAGATCAGACCGAATCCACAGAGAAGCAGATCACTCAGGTGTGACGGGACGGGACCAGACCGAACCGGCCTAACCGAAGCTAAAACTATATCAAAAACTGCCAAAACCCAATCAGCCTGGACCTGAACGTAAACCTGCTGTCAAACGGTTTCCGTTCAAATGAAGACTACAAACCAAAACAGATCACGGAAACCACTCGAGTCCAGGTCTACGAGAGGGAGACCGGATCCAGAGAAGCTCCATATAAACAATGTTGTGGAAAAGCTCTTTCCTGTGGACTGACGCTCTTAGGATTTTAATAAGTACTTACAGGAGAATCTGCTTCGCCGTCACTGCCAAATCTGGTTTCATGTGGTTTACAGTAAGCTATCGTGTGCATTAGTTCTTTATCAAGCTCTCCGTTCGGTTTCTGTTGTTATTTCTCAATTCAATCATATAGGCAAATGACATTATGCATATATTAATATAATCTAGATAGGAATAAATATTGATGAGTTTATTTGCATGCGTTCAGCGATCAGGACGGACCTGTGCTGATATTATTCTGCTGAAGGTCATTAAGGGAATCGTCTTTATTAAGTGTTCGTGATGCTGTGCTGCAGATTTAGCTCCAGGGTGTTTTATATGGAGTTCATAGATTAACGTGGAACTACCAAATGGTAATAAAATATTATAAATCAAGATTTGTTTTGTGTGTATGTCTACGTGATTCATAACTTTAATAACTGTCAATTAATACAAATTAAGAAAATGAATAATTGTTATTTTTAAGTAATTAAAAGTTATATATATATAATTTTTTTTTTTTCCCACCAGTGGTCACCATTTAATTTTGAGTTTATTTCTCACAATTTTGACTTTTTGCCTGTAATTCTGACTTTATAGCTTGTAATTTACATTTTTACATTTATTTTTTTTACTCAGAATTGCAAGAAAATGTTTTGAGAATTGTGAGTTTATAGTGTATATCACAATTCTGACTTGTGATTCTTAGTTTACATCTCAATTAAGAGAAAAAAAATCAGATTGCAAGAAAAAAATTGAGAAAATGCAAAACATCTTAATGGTTTTCATTTCTATATTTACGGACACTGATGGTTAAATTACACTGAGAAATTACAAACATTTGAGCCAGTTTTGATCCATATGATCCATTTTTTCTTTCTGGCCAAAGTATGTTTTAAAAATATGCTAAAAATGTGTTATAAACATTTTTCAGCTCAATTAAATATATTTTAAAATGTATTCCAGGAGCAAGAAAATAAAATTATCTTACAGACTTTTTTTGTATATTTACATAAAAAATTTAATAAAAAATAAAATGATTAAAAAAATTTAAATTATTATTTTTAAGTGTTTTCTTGGAATGAAACTTACGGTTTTGCTTTTATTTATTTTTTTCTCAAAAATACACAAAAAATATTTTGGTGGAAAATATATTTACTAAAATATTTTTCAAAATATATTTGTATAATATGCTAAATATGTGTTATAAACTGAAGCTCAATGAAATATATTTATGAAATTAAAAATACATTTAGTTTCAACCTTCATATACCAAAATATATTTCAGGAGCAAGAAAATATATTTCCAATCTCAAGACTTTTTTTTTTGGTATATTTTTTGGGGAAAAAATCTTGAAAATGAAATACATGGATTTGTTTAAAAAATACATTTATATATAATATAATAATATATATAATATATTCAAATTTTAGATTATATATATATATATATATATATGTTTTGTTTTTTTTCCACAAAAAATATTGGTGGAAAACCTATTTACATAAACATGTTTTAAAATAAGTAAAAATATTTTTGGAAATTTTTTTCATTTTTTATTATTTTAAAATACAAGCATCATTCACAAATGGACCATTAAAACTCCAGAGCATTTTTTCCTCTTTATTCTTTAGTAACATGTTACACGCATAACAAAAAATAAACGCTCTCAAAGGAAACTGAGGAGTTATTTTTTTAACCAGTTGTGTTATTTCGTGTTTTATTATATACTGGTGATGCAGTAAAAGAGCTTACAGGAGTTAAGAAAGACTCGGGCAGCGTTTCTTCGGTCAGTAGATCGTTACAGGCACGAGGAGAGAAAATCAATCAATCAATGTAAACTTCAAGAGAACAACATCACTGGTCATAAAGCCATTCCTGAAACCACAGAAACCAGGAAAACACCAAAGCGCCAAGTTCAAGGCCAAGCAGGAGTTCAGTAGAAACACCATCCAGAGATTGTCACATTTAAAGGCGTGCGATCAGACGTCCTTCATTCGTCAAACACGCGGCGTCATGATGCTTTATGAAGCGAGTATGGCACAGGATGAGTTTGGCACCGGAGGACAAAAATAAAACGCCATTAAGAATCAACACAGCACAGACCATATATTAAACCATATCAATCGCACCAAACCAGGTCAGATTTCATCCCAAACTCATAAGGCAAAAAAAAGACTATATTTTGCATTAACAAGAATTTTAGGACCAAGATTGTATTGTATTGTAATTGTAATAATAAATGTAAGAAGATACATCCATGGTATTTATGCTGCCTTTTTGAAAAAAACAAAAACATGTAATAATTTGCTTGTACAAGAGCACATCCAGGCCTAATTTCACCCCAAAATAAAAAAATTTTCGTTAAGAAAATTATAAAAAAATTAAAATAAATGTAAAAAAAACATTACATTTTATAGGCCTCTTTGCTGATTTAAGTAACATTGTATTACAGTAACGAGATTTTTAATGAGAAAAAAAAATCTAAAGTAAAACATTTACATATAGTAATGAGAATTTAGTGTTAAAATGTAATTTTTTTAATTGTCATGAAAATGATGTCAATGCAAAACATCTTAATGGTTTTGAATTTAGGGTGAAATATGACCTGAACATGTTTTCATATTTAAAATACATGTCGCATTTCACTCCAAAGTCATGACAAAAATAAGACATTATATTTCACATTAAGAAAATAAAACCTATTATTTTTATATAGGACTGAGATGTTTTTGCAATCCAACAATTTCACAATTAAAAAAAAAAAATCAAAATTCTCATTACTGCAACTTAAATTTTTTTTAAATGAATTAAATAAAAATAAAATACTGCATCACAGTAATGAAAGACATTGAGAAATTAAAAAAAAAAAGTAATGAGATTTTTTTTTCTTTTAACCTGTCATGAAAATAAAGTCACAATGCAAAAAATCCTAATGGTTTTGAATTTGGCGTGAAATACGATCTGGGTGTGTTTTCAGGACATTAGCCTAAAAACCATGACATTAGAAGGAGATCTGCATTAATCTGCCTGATTATTAAATGTTTCCCAGTTTATTCACTCCATTCTTATACACAGATGCTTTAAAAATACATGGATTTCTTTCAAGTGTCCAGAAGTCAGAAGCGTGTGCCTGAGACGCTCACAAACACACCGCAGTTATTCAACCATGAATCTGCACTTCTGAGGGCTGATGAGAACACAAGCGAACAGGACGAGAAGATTCAGACGGGAATATGAAACATTCTTCAGCGGAGTTTCTCCAGAGCTCTGCATGGAGTGTGTGACCGCATGCAGCGACACGCATGAACACGCAAGCATCCGCAGCCTCACGACACCAGAGACACATTCACAAGCTCAAGTCAGTCATGCACAGACTCTGACATCCAGTGACGTAGTGTTTGACACACCAGAGCCGTCAAACCATGAGCATACTCTACCAGACCAACCTCTCTCCTGCTCAGCAGGGCTGCGTTTATTTCATCAAAAATACAGTCAAAAATGTGAAATAATATTACTATTTAAAACAGCCATTTTCTATGTGAATCTCTGTTAAACTGTAATTTATTCCTGTGATTTTCAGCATCATTACTCCAGTCTTCAGTGTCACATGATCTTCAGAAATCATTCTAATATGCTGATCTGCTGCTCAAGAAACATTTCTGATTATTATCAATGTTGAAAACAGTTGAGCTGCACAATATTTCTGTAGAAAGCTCAAAAGAACAGCATTTATTTGAAATAGAAATATTTTGTAACATTATAAATGCATTTACTGTCACTTTTGATCAATTTAATGCGTCCTTGATGAATAAAAGCATTAATTTCCTTATTAATTTAAAATTTGTAGTCTATATATATATATATATTTACAAAAAGTAACATCAAGTGAAACTGCAACATTTAAATGAGTAATATATAACAAACATTATTGAAATAAACTCTTACTATACCCAATAATTACTATTTCTATTTTACTAATAATATTTATGCACTAAAAACGAAAGGAAAAAAAATTGGCAGGTGCTTTTATCCAATGAAACTTGAAAAGAAAGCATTTATTTGGAATGGAAATCTTTACTGTCACTTTTGATCAATTTAATGCATCCTTGTTCAATAAAAATGCCCCCCCCCCCTTTTTTTTTTTAAATCTTATTTTATTGTACTTACCCCAATCAACTGTTTTCAACATTGATAATAATCAGAAATGTTTCTTGAGCAGCAGATCAGCATATTAGAATGATTTCTGAAGATCATGTGACACTGAAGACTGGAGTAATGATGCTGAAAATACAGCTGCGCATCACAGAAATAAATTACAGTTTAACAGAGATTCACATAGATAACAGCTATTTGAAATTGTAAAAATATTTCACAATTTTACTATATTTTTGATCAAATAAACACAGCCCTGCTGAGCAGGAGAGACGTCTTTCAGAAACATTAAAAAGTCATAATTATTCCAGACTTCTGACTGGTAGTGTATGAATGTCGCTCAGCTCTCAGTGAGCCAGACATTTCTGTTTTTGTTTATGTACATCTATTTAGATGATGGGTGTTTAAGAATCAAGTCCGATCGAGATTATGGCCACATCAGGGTTTTAGTTTCGGAGTTTCTGACCTAAGATCGAATATTTCAGAGACATTTGCAGACGGTAATAATCTGGGCTAAATTTGGACGGGGTTATTAAAGATCACGAGCCAGTACGACAGCTCTCACAAACTCTCCGAGGGAAAACACAATGTCCACACATATCAGTAATACAGTAGGTCTGCTTTAACACGCACACTTCTTCTGGTTTCCCGCCGCGGCGTCCAGTTTGCTGGAGCCGTCCGTGTCGTGCTCCGCCGCCGGTTTATCCACACACTGCTCCATCCGCTTCATCACCAGATCCAGCAGCGTCACCACGGCTTTATCCACCTCCGCGCCGGTCGCCGCACTCGTCTCGAAGTAGGGAATTCTGGGAAGAGGAGACAAACACAAACATCAGAAGAAGAACCTGGGACACACATGGATATATGAGAATTATTACATTTGAGCAAAAATGGAAACTTGGGTTGTTATATGGTATAAAATGAACAGTAAGATTTTTTATGTTTTTTTAAAGAAGTCTCTTCTGCTCATCAAGCCTGCATTTATTTGATCAGAAATACTTTCAAAAGTTTTCTATGTGAATATCTATTAAACTGTAATTTATTTCTCTGTATTTTCAGCACCATTACTCCAGTCTTCAGTGTCACGTGATCTTCAGAAATCATTCTAAGATGCTGATTTGCTGCTCAAAAAACATTTATTATTATTATTATTACGTTGAAAACAGCTGAGTATAATTTTTCAGGTTTCTTTGATGAATAGAAAGAAATTAATATCTGAAATAGAAATCTTTTGTAACATTATAAATGTTTTTTTTCCATCAGTTTTGATCAATTTAAAGCATCCTTGCTAAATAAAGTATTAATTTCTATAATTTCTATAATTATACTGACTCCAAGCTTTTGAATGGAATATCACAGAAATACATTACAGTTTAACAGAGATTCACATAGAAAACTAAAAAAAAAATATTTCACAATTTTACTGCTTTACTGTATTTTTGATCAAATAAATGCAGGCTTGGTGAGCAGAAGAGAAGTCTTTAAAAACATAAAAATGTTTACTGTTCAAAAACTGGTAGTGTATATAAAATATCTAGAAAACATTTTACTATGTTTATACATTTATGTTCAATATATTTTAATATATTTTAATAATTATATATATATATTTGTAAAAAGTAAATCTATTATAAATGAAAAAAAAAAAAAAAAACATCAATGACTGAAGAGTGAAGTTGACGCACACACTCACCCGTATTTGTCCGCTAGTTCTTTCGCTTGTTTCTCCTGAACTTCTCTCTGGTCGTTCAGATCGGCTTTATTACCCACGAGAACAATATCTGGATTCTCACAATACGCGTTCGCCTGGAGCTGACCTACACACACACACACACACACACACACACACACACACAGAAGTGTTTCACAGTTTCAGGTTTTAGTGTAAACGAAAGAGTGTCAGATTCAACAGCAGAGCTACAGAGCTGAAATTATCATCAAAACAGCAGTTCAGACTGAATCTACTGCAGAAATGTGTGTAAGGAAGAAAAGGAGAAGAAGAGGAAGAGGAAAAAGAAGAAAGAGGAATTCTCGCCAGCAAGCACTGTAACTAACAGACCCGCACACAGTGCCTGTTAATCTGGTTAGTGCTGGTTAGTGCCGGTTAGTTAGTGGTGCATCTGCAGTCACTCACTCATCCAGTTCCTGACGTTGAGGAAGCTTTGCTGGCTCGTCAGATCGAACATGAGCAAGAAACCCATCGCATCCCTGAAGAAGGCCGTGGTCAAACTCCTGAACCTGCGGAGAACAGACCTAGACTTCAACTGCCTGCAATCATTGAATTCAGTGCATTAACATCTGATCTCCAAATCATGAGGTCAGAGTCAGGCCAGCAGTAAAACACTGATCCACATCTCTGTGTGTTGTCTCTGCTGTGATGAAGGAAACGCAGCTCATGGTGAAGGAGTTACAGTGCGGCAGCTAAAGTGAGCGAATCAAAGAGAACCCAATCAGTCCGCCAGATCAGGAGCAGGAAAAAAAGGTCGAGAAAAACAGTTTAAATTAATAATAAAAATATTCAAATAAATACAATTATATTAAAGCACAAAAAGTATTAGATTAAGATAAATTCTATTAAAATAAAATCATTTAAATTAAATTAAATAATAAATAAATGCATAAATAATACATCTAACAGTACAGTAAAACAGTAAGTTGAAAAATGTAATGTAACTTAATAGACTATTTTTTATATAAATAATGAAAAAATAAAAAACATTAAATAATAATAATATTAATAAAAAATAAGATAATAAGTAAACGATAAAAATAGATTCAATGAAATATTACGTAAAAAAAATAATGCATAACAGTACATTAGTCATGTAACTTAATAGAAACAACATTTTAAATGAATAATAATAATAACAATAAAAATTACATTCAAATAAAATAAATAAATAAACAATAAAATAGTAGATTAAATAAATAAATAATACATCTAACAGTACAGTACTACAGTACTCCTACAATATTGCTAAGTAGGAATAATAATAATTAGAGACTAAATATGTTCTAAACAATACTTTAAATTGTTATGCAACATAGTATAAAAGAGAATTAATATTCAATTTTATCAATTAAACCGGACTCCAATTTAACTTCTGAATTGAGCCGAATAATGAAACTAACTCTACAACATCAACACTGTTATTGAACTGAACTGATCTGAATGACACTGTAATCTTCTGTGGAGCTGTTTCACAGCTAAAACTGAAATTGTATCATGATTAGGGTTGGGTACCGAAACCCGGTACCAATATGGCACCGGTACCTATGTAACCGGTATGTACTAGAACCGAATCCGAACGCAGATTTCGGTGCCATGCCTGAGCGATCGATTAAATATTTGTCCTCTGGTCCTCCGAAACGGACGTAAGAAGCATCATCACCGGCACCGCACGTGAAGATTATAAATATACTTAATTGTTATGAAAATACCAGAGATGGCTTGAATAACACAGATAAACTATATTGTCGCAGTCGAGTGTTTATTGTCTTTGTTTTATCGTTCAAAACGTTTATATGTTCTGTTTACTCAGTTACAGCTATAATAGCGATGCCTTTGTCCATATAAGGGATTTCCTGGAGGGTCACCAGTTCCGCTACTTCTGTGACTGGATATGTGGATTTTCTGTGCGAGGGCGCCTTCTGGCGTCCAGTATGAATGAAACAGACAGCATGTGTTTATGGTGCTAATGGCCAATCCATCATTTTTTGTGGAATTTTTATTTATTTATTTTTTTTAATAAGTATCGGTTCAGGCACCGGAACCGTTTTAAACGTATCGATTTGGCACCGGTATCGAAAAAAAACAAAACAATACCCAACCCTAATCACGATTGATGAATTAAACAACATTTAACCGTTATTTTCCTGTTTATTACTGTGAAGCTGCTTTAAAACGATCTTTGAAACAGGCTGCTTTGAGACGCTTCCACTGACTGTGTGGATGTGATCAGGAATAAGAAGAGAAGAGCGCACCTCTCCTGTCCCGCCGTGTCCCAGAGCTGCAGGTGAACCTTAAACGTCTTTCCTGTCGTTCCATTGGGGCTGTTTGTCGTATAAACCTGGAGAACAACAGAGATCAGCAGAGATCAGCACCAAACCTGCCTGAGAAATCCATAGAGTCTCTGTTTTCATGCCGATTAAACAGTTTCAAAAGTAGCGCCCTCGCGAGTAGTGATGGGTCATTCTTCTATTTCGAACGAATCTTTAAAATGACTCGGAACGATGAGTTGTCTCAAGCGAGGGATTCGTTCATTTCGTGTCGTGTCGCGCAACATCCAATAGGTTCTGTACAGGAAAGAGAAATGATTAGTCTTCGAGTCGTTCGTTGTTTTGAGGCGTTAACGCCGGAGTTTAGTTCAGTGCTCGCGCTCGATGAATTCTGCTCTCTCGCGAATCCTCCCATCATAAACAACAAAGATGTAAGTGAGAGATTCATTTGCCGGTGTAGGAGCTTCAGTGATTATAATGGGAGTTGTTTGAGAGTGCTTAAACTCACGCTAGACTATAGTCAGTGATAATGGAAATTCATTGCTCGCTTTCTGTATATAATTTATTCGCTGTTTGAATAACCGAGGAATTGAAACGAAGTAATGAAATCATTTGTAACTTGCAATGTTTTTAATAAACTGTGATCACTTTAAATATAAATTGTTAAAGTATTTTATGACAGACGTGTTTCTGATGTGTGTAGTTAATAGATTACACCCTCCAAACAAGAACACAGAGACCAAACTGTGCTGGATGAAGCGGACAATCAGCTACAAACGAATGAAACAAAAGACTACATTTTGAAAGCTAACTTTGGCTCGAGGTCTAAAGACTGAAAACACGGCAGACAAACTTCTCAAACATGATCCGGACGCTCGGAGACTGCTTTACTTCTGCTCGCTTTAGCTCAGATGGATGCTGTTATTGATCTGCCTGAGCCGCAGTGCATGCTGGGATAGATGTTTTCATCTCACTGTCTCCCTGTCCACTTTATCTATGACATTTTACGAGTCTCTGAAAGATACTGCAGGCAGAAAAAGAGCATAAAATACCTGCATAAAGCAGGATTTTGTGTCTGGCACTTAATAATCGTGTGCTTACAGAGGAAAGAAAAATTAGATTTAAATCAATGAATGAATAAATAAATAAATAAATAAATAAATATAACAGTACAATACTAAAGTAGAAAAAATAAAGATACTTAATTGATAGAAACTAAACAATTTAAATAAATAAATAAAGATACAGACAGAAAAAGGTCATAAAACACATTAAATAAATCAGGATTTTGTGTCTGGCACTAAATAATGATATGTTTATGGGAGAAAAATACAATAAAACAATAAAAAATTGATTTATATTAAATAAATAAATGTAGGAAAAAAAGTGAAATAATAGAAACTAAATATTTTAAATGATGATGATGATGATGAATCCGAAAGACTAAATATACTGAAAGAATAAAAATTTAAATAAAAAAATACAAATTAGATCAACATAAATAATGAATACATAATACATATAGCAGTACTGTACTAACGCAAGTAGAAAAATATCATGTAATTAAATATTTTAAATAATAAGAATTACAATAATAATAATAGCAGTAATAATAATAAATAACTTGAAAGATACTGCAGACACCTGAAATATATCAGGATTTTGTATCTGGCACTAAATCGTGTGGAAACGTGGGAAATAGAATCTGTAAGGAGTCCATGTTTATGGGTCATAAATATATGAGGTTATAATGTTGGAGAATAATGGAGGATTGTTCATGAGCGCGTCAGCCGCTGATTCCTGACATGATGTGGCTCTGTGTCACTGATAATGTGGGCAGCTCTGCGTCTCTGATTCTCCTGTGTTTCTGAGCTCGGATGATTCATACTGTGAGTGTGTTTGAGAAGTTCAGGCCTCATTCTCATTATCGATCTTTTTCAGATCAGCGCAGGAACGTTTTTAGTGGGTGGAAACACGCTTTGCACGTCCTCACACATACACACACACTCACACACACACAAACACACACACTGACACACTCACACACACACACACACAAACACAAACACACAAACACACACACACACACACAAACACACACACACCGCACACGCACACGCACACACACACACACACACACACACACACACACACACACACAGTGAAGAGCCAGTGGTCTTGTGTTACTGTGAGTCATGAACATTCATTTAATCCAAAAAACTGAAACCCTCCAAACTCTGTCAAAGTGAAATTGTTGCGTTCTAAAACGTGTCAAACTGCAATTCATAACGCGACGCAGCAAGAGCCGCTAAACAGCACTGTTATTGTTAAAACTAAAACTATTACAAGTCATTTGTTAATTGAAATAAAATATAAATATTAGATGAAACACTTAAAAAAACTAGAATGAAAATTAGAAATGCACCTAACCGAAATCAAATAAAACTGAAACAGAAAGAAAGAAAGAAAGAAAGAAAGAAAGAAAGAAAGAAAGAAAGAAAGAAAGAAAGAATTGGCAATCAAAAAATGCCAAATGCACAAAACAAAATTACTCAAACTTAAAGTAAAACTGCAATTTATAATGCAAAAAAAAACAAAAATCAGAAACGTTGAAATACTGAAATAAAAAGTGAAACACTAAAATTACAAAACAAATCAAAGCTAAAGAAATATAAATATATAAATATATTTTCAATTTCCAAAATTCCAAATCTAAAAATAAAAGCTAATTCAAAATAGAAATAAGTACTATAATAGTGTATAAATAATACATTATTATTAGGGCTGTGACTCTTTGGGTAGACAGCGAATCGATTCGATTCATGATTCATAGGTTTTCGATTCGATTCAAGAACGATTTTTGCAAATTCAGAGCGATTCAATTCGATTCACAATTAAATTTGATTTGATTACATTAACGATTCGGTTCTGCATTCTTTAAGTGCATTCACAGGATTATTTAAATGCTTCCCCTAAATTCTTTAAATGCTTAGTCAGGGGGCAAATTACACAGCAGCCTTTATGGTTAGAGAACCATAGGTTAGAGCAGTGTTTCCCAACCGGGCTGCCGTCTGTCGAGAGCAGGGGTGCCGTGTAAAAAAATATTTTTTAAATATTTTTAAATTGCTAAAATGTTCAAAAAAGCAGCTATTATATAATATCCATTTCTGATGTTGCCAATAATTAGAGATGCACTGAAATTCCGACCGCTCAGGATTCACTTTTTACGATTCATCTATCTCACAATGTTTACATATGAATAAAAGCCTACATTAAAATCTGTCATATAAATTGGTCTTTTCATTAGAAATTAGCCTACTGATTGCCACCACTGATGGACAACATTTTTTTATAATATTAAAATCTGTATGACAGTGTATTCTGCAGTTCTTCCCTGCTGTACCGAATATCTATACTTTTCAAAGTATCATATCGAAGTTAGAAATTCAAATATTGTGACAAAATTAATTTTGTAGGGTGCCACAAATTTGTTAAAATTTCCAAAGGGTGCCGCGACTAAAGAAAGGTTGGGAAACACTGGGTTAGAGGAAAAAAAAAACACTTTTGTGCATTGTTAGATGCTAGTTTAATGATGCTATGACATGGCATATGTAGAAATGTATGTAAGCCAAGGTTTTAAAAAAGAGTTTTAAAAGTATTATGTATAGCCTTACATTTTGTCACACCAGGGGCGCAGCCATCATCAGAAGTGACAGAAATGTCAAATACAATAATTTTGTTTTTTTTTTTGTTTGCTTTTTTTTTACAAGGAATTATTTTCTTATCTCTTACTTTGAATTTGCTATAAAAAATCTAATTTTTTCCTAATGGCAATTTTATGATTGGTTTATATACTACAAAAAATTATTTCAATTATCTGCACAGAATAAGGTAGAAAATATACTTTATAGTTTCTGTACTGTAATAAATTATATGTCAATTTGCACTGCATCATGCATCATAAATGTTATTTATTTATTGTGTTTATTGTCTTAACGTTTCATCAGTTCATTCTGCTTTTTATACAGTTTAGCTGCAGATATAGCCTGGCACGTCTATGAGCGCGCGATCACTTCTCTTTCAGTGCGAAAACTTCTTTATCTCATTTTCATAAAACAAAATGCTATAGTATTTAACTTTTCCTCTCCATCGGCGAATGATGATTCTGAAAGAAAACGCGCCCGATGTCTGTTTGCTAGCAACGAACGCTATATGCATCTGATTATCAGATAAACCTCGCGCTCTTATTTCAAGGTTGTTGTTAAAGCTGTGCTTATTTTAACGGTTTCCTTCGTACACTCGGTTTAACGACATTGTTAAAACACATTTCTCATTCAATGGAACTGCACACACACACACGCTCACACACACATATATATAACTTGAACTGATTCACAGAAATAAATTTAATACGTTTAGATATAGATTTATTTCTGTGAATCAGTTCAAGTTATATATATGTGTGTGTGTGTATACATATATCTTTTGATTTGTTGTAAAAGAGAGCAAAGCTTCATCAGACACGTCAGCATCTCTGTAAACAGTCCTGCGGCTCCGGCTCCCGTCAGCTCAGATCTGCTCGCTGCGTCTCAGAGATTTGCTCTTTTAATA